CAAACTTCAGAAATTGAGACAGGATATAGAGACACAAATACCTGGGTTGAATGGATAAAGTATATAAACAAGCCTTAACAAAAGTGATTGCTATGCATGTGCCACGGGTAGGCCACAGGCTCAAATAGTCCTATTCCCTATTAACTGAGACATAGACCCCAAAGGAATGAGTTGTCTATTGACTCTATATCAAGATAAGGATGCACGGGGAAACAAGACTTGCCGCAGTCTCTCTGCTCTATCCGCTTGTATAGACGTCATATCAAAAGGTGTATCCTTCCTTTTCCATAGGTAAGGCAAATCACTCCTCTTGTCTCTCCAGATGAGAGGATGGTTTTACCATTCCTGTGAGGCATCTGAAAACCTGTATCCATGTTCTTGATATCTCTGGGTCAACTGAGGGCAACTACTTAAACTTTAACATTCCTTAAGCAGATGTTGGGTGGTACTGTGGAGGTAGGACAATTTGAGCCCTGCTGCCACCCAAATGGACGGGAACCTGTTCTTTGGTTCAACTGGCTATTCCATTCACCCTGGCATTTCAAAACCCACCAATAACTACAAAAGAGTCAAACAATCATTACCTGAACCACCAGTACCCAGCTCATTTGACTCTAATATATATGTAGATGCTGTAGGAGTCCCTAGGGGAGTTCCTAATGAATTCAAAGTTTGAAATCAAATAGCTGCAGGATTTAAATCTCTCTTTTGGTGGGTAACTATAAATAATGTAGATTGGATCAATTATGTATATATTATATATATAATCAACAAATATTTATTAATCATATTAGAAATGTTATTAAAAGAATTGCTGAACAATTAGATCCTACTGGTAGGATGGCATGAAAAAATCATATGACCTTAGACACGATGCTAGCAGAAAAAGGGGGAGTATGTATCATGCTAGAAGGACAATGCTGTACTTTTATCCCAAACAATACAGCCCCTGATGGGACTATTACCAAAGCATTACAAGGATTGAGTACTCTGGTCAATGAATTCGCTAAAAAATCTGGTTTCAAAAACCCCTTCACAGACTGGTTAGATAATTGGTTTGGAAAATGGAGAGGAACAGTAATCTCAATCCTAACCTCCCTTATAACAGTAATAGGAATATTAGTTGCTCTGGAATGCTGTATTATTCCCTGTGTCAGAGGCTTGGTCCAGAGACTAATTAAAACAGCTATAACAAAGAAAATGCCAAGCTGGGCTCGGTGGCTCAGCCTGTAATCCCATGCTTTGGGAGGCTGAGGTGAGTAGATTGCCTGAGTCCGCGGGTTCGAGACCCGCCTGGGCAACTTGGCGAGACCTCATCTCTACAATAAATCAAAAAATTAGCCGGGCGTGGTAGCGCGCACCTGTGGTTCCAGCTCCTTGGAAGGCTGAGGCGGAAGGATTGCCGGAGCCCAGCAAGGTAAGGCTGCGGTGGCCGGGAGCGGCTACTGCACTCCAGTGAGACTCCAACTCAAAAACAGAAACAAAAACAAAACAAAGAAAATGCCTATGAGTTATGTTATGAAAACCAAACTAAATTTTAAAGAAAAAGTCAAAAATTACTTAATAAACTTAAAACTGATCTCATAATTAAATCTGAACCCCAAAATGAAAATATAATTTAAAAAATACTTTAAAAAAAAGAGGGGGAAGATTGTTTAAAAAAGATTTATTTTAAGCCGGGCTCGGTGGCTCAGCCTGTAATCCTGCACCTTTGGGAGGCTGAGGTGAGTGGATTGCCTAAGCCCGCGGGTTCGAGACCCACCTGGGCAGCGAGACCTCATCTCTACAATAAATCAAAAAATCAGCCGGGCATGGTAGCGCATGCCTGTAATTCCGGCTACTTGGAAGGCTGAGGTGGAAGGATCGCCGGAGCCCATCAGGCGAGGCTGCAGTGTCCGGGAGCGGCCACTGCACTCCAGTCTGGGCAACCGAGCGAGACTCCAACTCAAAAAAAAAAAAAAAGATTTATTTTCACAGTAAGCCACAAGCTGTATGTAACTGCTTTTCTCTGAGTCACTTCCGGCTTCTCTTTTTTCAGGCTTTTACTTTGGTGGACCTTTTCATTTAAACTTCTAAGGAAACCAATTAAAACAAAATCTTGTAAGCCAATTGGTAAATAGGACATGCAAATAAAGTAAGTTTGTCATACCTATGTTAACCAATTAATAGGACATGCAAATGAACTAACCAGGTAACTTAATCAGTGTATGACATGTAGATTATGTCTGGGAAAGTGATGTAACCTCTGAAAGTACCTAACCTCTAGGGAAACTTGCATTTTCGGGCTGAAGTATTCTGGCTGAAACAACTTCGGTGTGCCTGCTCATCTGAGGAATACCCATTCTTGCAAGAGCGTCATTTTCAAAAGCTGCTTCACTCTACTGATCTCTGAGTCTCCTTGTTGTTTTTGGAAAACCCATTCTGGAGGTGGGGGTGTCCCCTAGGACCCCCATTTCTAGTGCTGGGTAATCTTTGGCAAGCTTCTTAACTTCTTTGGAAACCTCATCTCTTAAAAGTAGGAATGATAGTTCATACTTGGTCATGTTGTAATAAGGATTAAATGAGTTAATATGTATAAAGTGCCTAAATGAGTGCTGGCACACAGTAAATTCTTTATAAATATTTTGTAAAACAAAAACTATGATGATTAAAAGTTCATTGAGTAATTAATTAGCTGTAATCTCACAAGGTAAGGAGATGTGACTTTGGTTGCTGTGAACCAGGTAGTGGTTGCCATAGATACGTCAGAACCTTGACCACCATTATTAGGACATTGCCATACCTTTTATAAGTGGACAACTTGAACTATGTTAATCTGGCAAGAAGGCTAGAAATTTCAATACACATTCCTATTACTCTACACATCTTATGTCTTTCACCTAAAAAGAACCAGTTTCTTATCAGATAAATAATTAACTACCTCAAGGTAAGCAAAATATATCATTATTTTCATTTTACAGATAAGAAATCTGAAAATGGTGGGCTTAATTTAGGTGATTTCACTCGGGTTACTCAGGAGAGGCACTAGAAATAAAAGATAAAGTCAGTAATCCCTAGTTCAATCGTTTTCCCACTTGGTTATTCACCTACTCTTCCTTGAAAAGGAAGAACCTTTGTGATACCAACTTGACCTTTCTTGTGGCACTGGCAAATACAGAGAGGTCAAGCTAGGAAGCTCTACTAATTATCAGAAAATAGAAATGAAGCTGTTACTGGTCTCCTCTCAAAGGGAAATGGCTATCCTAGAACCCAGACAATTAGGCTCTGGTGTTTCAGGCTCTAGGTCTTATCAACTTTATGAGCAAAGCTAGAATAAGGCTGGTTTTGATCACTGGCCATATATAGGGTTTCATTTTTTTCTGGCATAAGCTAGAATTGTACTCCAGGAGGTCCTTATGGGAAGCCTAATGTTCTCCTAGGACGTGAGCTGTGCTCTAAGAAATGCTATAAAATATGAATGAGTATTTGGGAATGGCAATTCTCCAAAACAGTGGATGACTGCATGACTTTGCAGAAAAAGTTGTCCATTAATAAGCTGGCACATAAACTGTGTTCGCCAGGCAGCTAAGCAAAGTCTAAGCACCAACTGAAGTACTTTGCTAACCCAACCAGGGCTTCCTCCAACTCTGGGCTTTAATATAAGTTGTCTCTCAGTGTACTCAGGGGATTGGTTCCTGGATCCCTTCATATACCAAAATTTTCATATACTCAAGTCCTGCAGTTGGCCCTGTGGAATCCGTGTATACAAAAAGTGAGGCCTGAGTCTATGCGGGTTCTGCATCTGTGAATATCTGCATTTGGTTGGAAAAAAAATCCACATATAAGTGGACCCATGTAGTTCAAACCCGTGTTGTTCAAGGCTCAACTGTAATTAGTCATTAGGGTAATGTAAACCAAAACCAACATGAGATACTACCTCTCATTCACTAGGATAGATAAACAAACAACAAACAAAAGTGTTGGCAAGGATGTGGAGAAATTGAAACCCTCCTGCATTGCTGGTGGGAATATAAGATGCTATAGCCACTTTGCAAAAACATTCTAGCAGTTCCTCAACAGCTTAAACATAGATTTATCATATAACCCAACAACTGCATTCCTAGGCACATACTGAAGAGAAATGAAAGCATATGTCCACACAGAAACTTGTACATAAATGTTTATAGCAGCATTATTCATAAGCGCCAAAAGTGGAAACAATCCAAATGTCCATCTGCTGATGAGTTGGTAAATAAAATGTAATATATTTATACAATGAAATATTATTTCACTTTAAAAAGAAATGAAGTACTGATATATGCTGCAACACGGATGAACCTTGAAGTGACTGTTTAAATTATCCTTTTCACTTAGACAGTCACTTCCAAATATGGGTGCACATTGAAATCGCCTGGAAAGCTAATCCAGCTCCCTGGGAATCTGAGAATGGGACACCTGGACTGATGTTTAAAAGCCATCAGACTAGATGATCTCTAAAGTACCTTAAACATCTAAAAATTGTATGAAATGTACGGTAGTGGGTCATCAACATCCTTATCTTTTAAGGCAGAGGCAGTAAGAGAACCAAACCCAACAAACAGCTAGTACGCAGAATAGGTCTCCCAATAGATCTTTATGGAAACTTAAGCTGGTTGTTCCCTAAGACATCATCCCACTCCCTCCCCAAGGTTGACTGTATATATTCCTAACAGGGAAGTACTAACAGGCTGAAGGGATAGGCCACACCTGACTGTGTCTGTGTGGGTTGCTTTAATCAGAAATCATCCCATTTTGCAAGAAGATACTTATTAGCACAGAATCTGCCACTGCAGTTGAGGATAACCAGTCCTTCCATCTATGACATTTATAGACAAGGTTGGAAAGAATGAAGTAACAGACTTTTAACAATCCAAGGATTCTTATATATCAGCACCTGTGTAGTAAGCCAACTTAGGTTCAGTGTTAATAATGGGACTTCTCATTTACTTTCTTTTCTTAATAATTAAGAACCAAGTTGAATCATGTTCCAGTTATTGACCTCCTGCTGGTCTCGGCTAAAGACAACTAAAGACACACGAAGGTAATATAGTTATTTCCCTAGATCTATTCCATCATTTCCTCCCATGTATCTGCCCACAGTCCCTGAAGAGAAAAATCTTCATAATATATGTTGTTAGGGGAAGTGATTATGCAGTGTCTTCAAGACTGGGGGCAGGGTTGAGGAAGGATGACCAATGCTACAAGGTAAGGGAATCAGGGAAGAAAAGCATCCTTGGAGGATATGGGGAGGGGTTCCTATACCACCTTGCCCAGGCCTTTTAATAATACATGCATTGGGGCTACTGTGGGCAAAGTCCCAAATACTAAGGATGAGTAGAACTCTTTGTTTAGCCTAAATGCTAACTGTTTTAAAGGCTTTGGCTCATTTTTCTTTTCCCCATTTCTAGGAACGTGACCATCCTTATCATTGGTTTAGACAACTCGGGCAAAACTGTTCTTGTGGAGGTGTTTCAAAGATGTAAGGAACTAACATTAGATCCTGGTATAGGTCTCCCATGGACCCCAGGGTCCAATGAAATAATCTTTCCTTCCTAGTATTACTTCATGGCCCTCAGTTTCCCTCTTTTTGAGGATAAACACCTCCCAATACACACCCACCCCCATACAAAGTCACTCTCTCTCTTTCTCCCACCCCACCTCAGTTGTCATCAGCCTGTTTATATATCTGTTACCTGCTCCCTTTACAAGATATCCTAATTGAAAGTCCTTTCATAGTGTCAGCATGAATGAGCTAAAACTATGTAAAGCATTGCCATTAATTATGAAGGATAGCATGTTTGAAATGGTTTCTAGTTTCAGAGCTCAATTAAAGTGGAATTTTGTCTAGATAAGAGAGACAAGTATGGGATTATAAAGAAGTTTAATAATAGGAAACCCTTAGTGGCAGTTAATATAGAGAGTTGGAGCTTGAGAAATGTTGTCAGTGCAGAGATGTGCAAGTTTAATACCAGATCTCCAGTTTAATATCTTGACATTTCAAAAAGCAGTCACATAGAATTTCAGGAAGCTACAATACTAGTTGTGGAAATGTAGCTAACTGCTAGTCAGCCAATCAAAGGGAACGACACTGTGTCTGGCATAGGATACTCTCTCTTGATGTTTATTGAATAAATGAAGGAGTATGATGACGTGGCTGAGTTTTATATAACCTGGCAGGCCTCAGCAAAGTATGGGGGAAGGGCTAACTGACTCCTCTGTCACTGGCCTACTTGAAGCCCTCATCAGTTTCCTTGAACTATAGCAATAGCCATCTGACTTATCTCATCATCTCCAGTTGTTCCCTCAGTATTCAGTCCACATAATTATCGGAAGGACTTAATGTACAAGTCTGATCATGATACTTCCCTGCTCAAAACTATTCAATGCCTCCCCATTGCTCTTAAGATAAAACTTAAGTTCCTTAGCAGCATAAAAAGTCCTCCATGAGTTGTTCCCTGACTCCTTCTCCAGCTTCATTTCCCACGTTCTCTGTATGTGCCCTCTGACACAGCCAGAACAAATGACTTGCCATTCCTCTGCCATCACATCACTCTAGTTCACACAGCCATGTTTCCAGTACATGCTGTCCCACTACCTAGCATTTCATCCCCACTGTTGTCCACCTGCTTAGTCAAACACTTCAAGTCACATCACAATTTGACATTAACTAACTTAACTTCCCCAACTCCCAGCATCTCCTTTGTTGGCTCCCACTCTATTCCACCCATCCCTCCAGCATGCACTTATCACAACATCACACAATTGTAAGTCCATCCCCTATACTATAAGTCCTTGAAGAGAAGTAATAGATCTTTTCATCTGTGTATCTTTAGCCTGTGTACTTTTAGCATCTTCTGGTGGGTACTCAATAAATATTTGTGGAATGAATATTCTCCCTTACTCCACCATTCCCCTGAGGCTACATGTGGCTGTTTTTCTAACATCTTCCTCTGCCTCAGTACAGCTCTAAGCACCATATTTGAGCCAATGGTTCGACATAGTATCTCCCCTTATAAGGAGCAGACAACTACTTGTCTCTCCCAATTCTCTGATAGGCAGACACAGTAACAAGGTAAACAGCAATAGAAAAAACCAAGGAGCCAGGATGTCACAAGATTACTGATAAAAGTGGAGATAATTTTCTAGAGTCCAAACTCAGGCTTAGCCCTGGATTCCAATTCAGTCTGGATGGGGCCTAGAAATATATATTTTAAGAAGTCACCAGGGGTTTCTGATTGCCAGCCAGCTTTGGGAAGCACTCACCTGGAATTAACCGTATGCTATTTTATCTGTGAAAATAGTGTCTGATTTCCATTTTAATTCCTAGAGGACAGTGCTTGGACTCTATGTTGTTACTGCATAACTTGCCTTGTGTTCAGTGACTACCTTGGGTTTGACTGATAAATGTATTGGTCTGTGGTTGTGACTACATTCAACAGAGAAGTTTCTAATGGGCACTAATGTCACATTCTGAAGAATGTCTCAGGCCACCTCTGTCCATGCAGGACCACCAGTTTCAATCTAGTAGGTTGCTCTATACCTAAAATCAAATTAGCTCACCTCCCCAGCTCCTGTAAATGTTTTTAAGATGATTGCCAAGAACAGATAATTGCCTAGGAAGGAAATTTCAATCTACAAGTAGTAACTTGCATGGACATTTGAAGACACCAGCTATAAAATATTTTGGAACACAAGCCATTATTATTCATGACACCATTCACTCTGTTTTTGTCTGGCATGGCAAAGTGGGGCAAGAAACCCAAGTGTGAGCACAAGCAGGTACCCTAAATAAGGATATTTAGACCACTACTCCTCAAACCTTGGCTATACATTTCAATCACCTGGGGAGCATTTTTTTTAAAGCATGACACTTGAGCCCCACCCCAGATCTATGAAATCAGATCCTTAGAGAATGAGGCCTAGCGTCATGGGTTTTGAAAGCTCCACAGATGATCATGGAGAACAGTGAATACTGAGACTCAATGACCAGAATCACCTGGGGAGCTTTCAAATCTACTGATGGGGTGACCTGGAAGTCCAAATACTTTGGTCTGGGGAGGGTTCATGGAATTTATATCTTACCAAGCTCACCAGATGATGCTGAGAGGCATGAGTTTCATGGCTTTCTAGGGCAGTGGTACTCAAGCTTTAATGTACAGAATAATAATCTGGGGATCTTGTTAACTGTAGGGAGTTCATTAAATATGCAAATGCTTGGATCCCAAACCTAGAGATTTTGATTCATTTGTTCTAGGGTAGGCCTTAAAAATCACTCTCATGTAACTTGAATTATATGGTCTCCAAACCATGTTTTAGGAAACACTCTCCATTAGGGAGATATATAGAGACAAATTAGGCTCAGTACCTGCCCTCAGGGTATTTAGAAAATAGAGAACTAGAGAAATGTAAATTGTCAGGGAACAACTGCTTGTGACATCTATGGTTTACCAACAGACAGCATTATTGAAGAAATTGATAATTTCAAATAAAAAAGAAAAGTCAGGGAAAATGTTCTTTTCTCTGACAAGGAATACATAAAGTTTGTCTCAGTGCAAGAAACAAAAATTTAAGATTACCTATAGAATTGTAACCTATTCACTTCTTATTTTTTAAGTAGTCTAATACAGACATAGCAAATGTGACATCAAAGTTGTGACTGCAAATTATATATCTTAAAGCTATAATTAAAAAGATCATTGACTAACATGAAACCAGAAGAGCTGTTATAAAAATCACATTAAGATGTAATGATAGTAATATATACATATGCACACATATATATGTATACTCATAAGTGTGTGTATAAGCATACATTTCCAAAGATCTGAGCTTATTACTAACTTCTAAGCTTAATGACTCATTTTGGCAATCCTGTGGAAAATGTCACAGGCAGATCTGAGACTGCAAATAAGAAGTTACTGATTCTTAGCACTCCCAGGTATGAGTATAGAGAATCTATAAAATCATTTTGCTACTAACGTGGGCAGAGAACTAGTTCTGAACAGTCAGATCAATAGACTAGAATGTGTGTAAAGGCTGTTGTTTTGAACTGCATTTCCATGGGAGCTGAATGAGGTATGAAATTCCCTATGGGATTTTATGTTCTGGCCACAGGTTTTAAAGGGAAAATGTGTCTTAGTTTACCATGGTTTCCTGGAAGAGATATGTGGGAGATTACTTTACACCCTTATCACAATAACAGCCACCATAAACATTTAATAAACATCTACTATGTATAAGGTAATGCAGAGACCCCACTCCTAATAACTTATATTTTAGTTGGGTAGTCAAGGCAAGCACAAAAAAGAAGTGAAGGAGCATGTGACCATGTGTTCGAAGAGAAAAAGCATAGAGACACAGAGAGAAAGCCAGAGAAATCTTCCTAAAGAAAGTTAAACTTCAGATGGTCCCTGAAGGAAAGGTTGGGGAGACAGAACTCCTGTTCGTACATTCATTCATTAATTCATCAGATTCATTCAACAAATATTTATTGACTACCTGTGTGCCAGCTGCGTACTCAGCATCATGAATATAATGAAGAATAAAATTGAAAGGGTACCCGTCCTGCTGCAGTTTATAACCCAGATAACTAAACCATAGAATTTATAACACTGTAATATGTGCTATGACAATGGTAAGCTCAGAAGAAAGGCACCTTATCCAGACTGGGGATGGTGGTATGAGGAAAAACTTTCAATAAACAAGATCAAAATTGATATTTTAAAAAATAGGCATTAACCAAGCAAAGAATAGATGAGTATTGTAAGCGGAGGGAATGGCACCTTGTGTGAAGGCCCAGAGCAAGAGAGAGCATGGCATTCATGTAGAATGAGAAGAGTGGGAGCAAAGGAGCAGAGGGAGGAACAGACTTGCTGTATACCAGGCACAGTGTGGCCACCAGTCAGGTTACAGTGCTAGGAGATAAGTCTGGCAGGTTAGGAGGAGAAGGAATCTGTGTTCTATCCGGGAGCAGTGAGTACTCACTGAAGGTTATTAAGTCAGGAGAGGGTAGCATGGGTAAGGAGATGGTTTAGGAAGATAAATCTGTGCATATGGGTATGGTGGCAGGATACTTCAGTAGGATTTCTAAAATAGGCTCTAGTCAAGGGTCAACAAATTCTTTGATCTAACTATATTTCCCTGTTTTGTGAATGCTTCTCTCTCTCCCACTATGTATAGTGCTTCCCAGTAAGATAAACGATTGTATGAAATCGGAACTGACTACACTCCTGTTAGATGAGTATGAAGTTACCATCTACGACCTGAAGGGAGACCTGAAGGGCCAAGAAACTTGGCAAAACTATTATGCACAGGCACATGGGTTTGTTTTTGTCCTGGATTCCAGCGACTTAGGGCGCATGCAGGAAGCAAGGATCATCTTAACACGTCTGCTGTCTGATAAAAGAGTGACAGGAAAACCCATCTTACTGTAAGATTCTGCCTTTGTGTACTTCCCAATTTATACCTTAAGAAAAGTATAGAAATAGGCCAGGCATAGAGGCTTATGCCTGTAATCTCAGGATTTAGGAGGCTGAGGTGAGAGGACTGCTTGAGGCCAATAGTTTGAGACCAGCCTGGACAACATAGCAAGACCCCCATCTCTGAAAAAATGTTTTTAATAACCTAGGTGGTGGCACATGCCCAGCTACTTGGGGGTGGGGGTGAGATGAGAGGATTTCTTGAGCCCAGGAGGTGGAGGCTGCAGTGAGCTATGATCACGTCACTGCACTCCAGCCTGGGCAACAGAGTAAAACCT